ACCCCAACACGCCCTATCACCTGGTTAAAGCCTGAAGGCAGTGCCACAATTGTATGTGCTGACAGCACTTCCGCGAACCTCGCCCTCAGAATATCAGTCTCAAAAGACCCAGAGGCACCACAGTCCTTGTTCTCCGGTGGCTCAGGAAACCCAGAACACACACGTGTAATACCAGCTCCTTCCACTAGAAGAGGCTGTCAGAGGGAGAGCACAACTGTCCTTAAGTTCAGCACAGGGAAACAAAAATCTTAACCATGTGTCCTTCACAGATAATTTTTACAATCTACTGGTATGTCTTCAGGCTTGACCACTTACAGATACCAAGTGAACATGTAAGTAAACATTTTTTGGGGGGGCAGGGTTTACCAGGGATCGAACTCACTACGTCACCCTTGCTAGGCAGGCACTTAACACGGCTGAGCTAAATCTCTGGCCCTAAGCTTTTTAAAAACACCGCAAAGGGTAACTCCAGGGTGAAGACTCTCTTCCTTCCTACCAAGAAGCTGTCTGTCATTTAATTACTGAGCATACAACTCACAGGAACTGGAAGCATTCTGCATAACCTAAACATACCCTTGACAAGCACCGTGCAGAGGAAATCAGAGCAGTTACCCTGATAAGCTTTAAGGTCCTCTTCTTAAATTAACTGTTGAGCAGGGATCCGATGGGCCTTGTCATTGAGCTACATGCTCAGCCCTTTTATAAAGTTTTATAAAAGGCAGGGTCTTAGCAAGTTACTGAGATCCACGGGCTGGGCTCCAACTTGCGATCCTCCCGCCTCTGTATCCCAGAATACTGGGATTGCAGACACAGTTGCCACAGTGCTCACCTTAAAGTCCCTAAAAGTTTCTATGTCAACAACCCTCAAAAGGTGGCTGCAGACCCCTCCAAGGGGTCCAGAAGATCAGTGTGTGCCACACACATGTTTACCTTACCATCATTTACCGTTGCACTAAGGGTGTACAAGGAAGATGGGTAAAACTGCAGGAGTCGAGGCAGCAGCACATGTATCTTCTTTATCACCATGAGCTCACAGCAGAGGAGAGAAAAGCCAACTTCGCTTAAAAATAGCAAAGAAGAAAGTAAAACTTAGCTGCGTTTCAACCAACAAGCAGCTGCTTTTTTAACACGGGGTGACAGGTGCAGGACAAAGGGGACTCCTCGCAGAGGAAGCCAAACTAGCTGCATTTTCTTGGTGACAACATTTTAATCTTTAAAGACACTTGACAAACTGTGGTCATTAAGACTCGGTGTCTCACAGACATTTTCTGGGAAAGGAGCAAAGTTTCCAATCGTTCCCCAACAGCTGAGTTTTTGGTGGTGTGGTGGTGACATTAAGAAACTGATTTTTCATAATCTATTAAGTGTCTCACCCTTTGGAAGAATCTGCTTAAACACTGATGAATGGTGTCACAATTCAGTTGGATCTGAGCATGCCTCTCCTCGAACTACCAAGGATCCCTGACTGGGATCCAGGGGCCAGGACGCAGGGCCTTCATGGCGCCACACCTGAGTGTCAGCAGGGCCTGGAAGAGGGCACAGGTCACAGTACTCCTCCACCTACAACTGCAACCTGGCCTCAGCCTTACTTTTCTTCAGATTTCACTTAAAACAGCCTGAACGCAGAAACATGGTAATCTGACTGTTGTTAGGCAGCTGTTAAAGTCATTTTTAATAAATGTTAGGCAATGCCATAGTCTTATTTTTGCATTTTAAACAAAAAGCTATGTCTACCAATATATAACGGCCGTATTACAATTACTTTACAAACTTCTGGCTTTAATTTCTAACCCATAAATATCTGTACAATCTACACAATAAAAAAATCTGGGGGACCCTGAATTTTGAGTTTTTAAAATGTAAAAGGGTCCTAAGACCAAAAGGGTAGACAACTATTGTTTTACAGCCCAACTGCCTAACTTTATGCACCCTTCTCCCCAGAAACTTGCCCCTTCAAATTAAGAATGATATACAATAATTTTTGAAGTCCTCTGTGCATTATAAATACATTTAAGTTTTTTTAGCCAAATTTTAACCAAAATTTAAAAATAAAGTTGCAACTTGCACACATGAAGAATTAAAATACAAACTACAGGAATATATGCACCTTAACTTAAGAGCAAACTGAGCAGACATATTCTTCTATCGCAGAAAAAAGCTTTATAAATATTGGAGCTTCCACAAAATGAAATTAGTATTCTAATATTTTAATTGCAAAAGTGCTCTGTGATGTACAGGATATAGTTGATGCTTTACAAAAAAATAAGTCTTTGAAAAACACAAATGCTTTACCTATATATGAATTGTACTTCAAATTCACCAAAACAATTTAATGGCCACATAATTATATGGACAATTAAGAAGTATTAATAAATGTAGCCTATTCGTAAAGGTCCTTAACTTAAGAAGTCTGTCTGAAAGTGAAAGCTGCTTAACATTAATTAAGCACTGCACCCAGGCCCACGATGACAGCCCATGGTGCAGGTCCATGTGCGCTGCTGACAGCCACTCTGGGGAGAAGGACGACCCCACAGGGCTCCCTAAGGACTCACTTGGGGAACTGACCCCTTCCAGTCTCAGTCCAAGCCACACAGAGCTCAGATTTGGCCTCTTACATCAGTTTGTCCCCTTTTCTGCCACGCACTGGAAAGTTAAGAAACTGTGCCAGTTGTCGAGCTGAAACGGAAACAAGGAGGAAATGCTGCTTCAGTGTGTGAGGACACCACAGAATGAATTATCTATTTGTCTAATGGCTGCCCACATGGCATCAATAATGAAAGTGTGTGAATAGTCCTGTGGGAGGAATAAAAAGCAGGAGGCTGAGGAGCTACGAGAGGGCAAATGAATGGTCCAGGACAGCATTTTAAACAGGCAGAGCAGATACCTCAAAAACTCTACTACTAGGCAGCAGCTGAGAACATTTTTGTACTTTCTGCCTCTGTGAAACATTAAAGACTTGGCAATATGGTCAGCTTCGACAGAAACAACCATGATAGAGTATTATCACTACGGGAAACAATCACACCTGGGCATTATAAATATCTCTAAGAATACGGTAAGCAACAAGAAGAAAGCCACAAAACCAAAAATGTCAGTGCTGATTCTAGAATGCAGACGAGTGAGATTCAGGAAGTTCACCTAACATGAATGGGTAATATTTTAAAAATTTAACCTCTAATCTAGACAGGTGAAACTTGAAATTTATTTTCTTATATGAAACCAATGTTACAGTGTAGGTGGGAGACTCAGTATGGTGCCTAAATACAGGTAATTCACACCCTGAAAATAAGTTTACCATCACAAGAGACTTCAGCAGAAGGTACTGGTTTTACAGTTTAAGAGCTGTAAAACAGTAACATAAAATGTAATATTGCATTATGAAGTCTCCCATTTGAAGAAAAAAAATCTAAATTAGAACTAGATCCTTTTTTACATCTACTAGGAAGAGTATGTTTACAGACTTCCCCCGAATTTCCCGAAGGAACAAACAAGAGCTAGAAACAGTTTAGAATCTCCAAGAAATAACCGAGTTCTAGACTAATGAAAACAGAATTAGAAACGAGGTAGGCAAAGAGAGATGCAGAACCACAGACACACCGTGGGGATGAGTTTTCTGTACCTTCACAGTGTCAGTCCTACTGCGGGCACTGAAGGAAGTGGCTAGGACCCGCTCCTTAACGCAGAGAGCAAAGGAGTCTTCCGGGTGCCCGTGAGGAAGCAGCAGGCCAACAGCCACTTGTCAGCAGCGTGCAGAGGCGGCTTTGCTTTTATCACTCCAAGCTAATTAATGATCCCTGAAGGCAGCGTGGCGCAGTGGAAAGGCTCTCCTTTGGGGCGTGGTCTGTGGATAGGTAAGTAGTTTCCACCAGCTCGCTTGGCTCTCTAAATATCTATTTCCTCATAGGTAAAAGGAGAATGACACATTGCATGGAAGTACTGCTGAGATCAAACGTAATAGTGTGCTAATAAATACAGCTATGCTATTTGTCAAAACGTAAAGCATTTTATTATCTACCAGAGTGAGTTACAGTACAATTAGGGAGTCCTGCTAGACTTGGACTAAATAATGCAAATGGCTCACTGGAGGGTATGCTGTTTGTGCACAGGAAATAATTCCTTATTTTTCTGTCAAAGTCCAGCTCGGGTGGCAATTACGGATAAACTTTTCTTGGACCCCTACGGCCCATCGTTCCCTAGACTGTAGACTGTGCCATGTTACATGGAGACACCTACTGCGTACTGCAGTGTAACTGACCTGCTTACATGGCTCTGAGTTACTTGTAGCAGCGACTTGCCTCTTGTTCAATTCTGTATTTCCAGTAAACAGAGGTGACTGGTGCCTCTACTAATAATTACTGACCAGTTGATATCATGCGTAGGACAACGATGAGACCCGATGGGACAATCCTGAGTCTACCCAGTGCGACATACTTTAGTATTTCCGTCGAAGATATGTAAGAAATGCATGCGACAAGAAAGAAGAGGGGATTGATGAAAACCAGACCTCCAAACTCGAAGCTCTCTGGCTGGCCCTTTCCTTTCGGTTCCTATCCCAAGGCGAACCTTAGGAGAAGAGCTGTGGAATGAACGACTTGTTCTCGGTTACCAGGCCTGGGCCAGGACGGCCACCAACGCAGTTTGCTGCAAACGATGGCAGAAACCTATCTATGGTCGGAGGACTGCGCGGCACGGGCTAGCAGGGAGGGCGGCGGCGGCGGCGATCTCCCGGCAGGGCTGTCCCCCTCGGCGTAGGCGGCGGGGCCGGGAGGGCGGCTGGCCAAGGCGCCCAGGTTCGCGCACACGCGTGCAAGCGACGAGCAAACGACCCGGAGCCACGGGCAGGCGCGCGCCTCGCTTCCAGCCCGGGAGCGCGCAGCCGCCGCCGCGAATCCCCAAGTCCGGAAGCCGCCGCCGCGGGGACCCCCGCCCGCCCAGTGTCCCGGCCCGGCCCGCTCCTCCAGCCCAGCCCGGCCGGCCCGGCCCGCCCCGGCCGCACTCACTCAGAGTCGCCGGCGGGCTGCGCAGTCGGCCGCGGCCGCGAAACCGGGCTCCTCGCAGCAGCGTAGTCGCCCCGCGCCGCTCCCGTCGCTCCTCATCGTCCCCCGCCAGCCGAGGGGCCGCTGCCGCCGTCGCCACGATCTAGCCCAGAGTCCCTGCGGCCGGCGCGGCGCTTGGAGACTCCACTTCCGGCCCGCACCCGGGTGTCGCCCGCAAATGCTCCCGTCGGCTCCCACATAACCTGCTCCGCTCTCCCTCTTGCAGCGGTACCCAAGCCCGCCCTCCAGGCATGCGCAGAGACGGCCTTCCAGGGAGTCGCGCGACGGTGGCCGCGAAGGAAAAGAGACCTCGGAGCCGCGGCCGGAGACGCGAGGCTTCCAGTTCTTCCTGGATCCTGCAAGGCTTGCTAAACAAACTCTAGACTTCCGGGGCAGGAGAGGCCAGGGTTAACCTGCGGCGGGGTATCAAAGGAGACCACCTGGTTGTCCCTTGAAACGCACTTTTTACCGAAGAAATGGTGTCTCCTCATAGGGTATTAGGATGCGAGGTGAGTTCCAGAATTTAAAACGTTATGGACCGTCTAAGGCAATTGGTGGCCCAAATCTAGGACCACGTAAGGACCTTTTCAAGAAAAAAATGCGGAACATTTTTGTCCTTGTTATTGTTTTCAATTTTTCCAAAAGCACAAGATCAGGGAAACACTGTGGGACTCTTCCCACGGCCTTGAAACCTCGAGTTTGGCCATCTTCATCGTCCACCCCTTTTGTACCAAGCTGTAGTTTACAGATGTCGGTCCCCCTTGGTCCTTGGTCATTCCCTATTCTATGTACCCCTTTTTATATACAGAGAAAATTTCGTGTTTGTATTGTAATTTTTAAATTTTTAAAGATGTATGTCTTGCTCCAAGTAAAAGTTGGGCTCCTTGACACAGAGCTTCCAATTGTTAAAACCTCCTAAATGGCAATCACTGTAAAACACTCCATTTATATAAATAATAATTACAAGTCTAGGTGATGCTTAGGAAACCTTGGTTCGCTTTGAGTTATGCATCTGAAACAACATGCTAGTGTTATAGGCTGCTGAATTAATTAGAAGTATTATAGGCAGTTAGAAAGGGATGGACCCTGGAAGGAGCCAGTGCAGAAGACTAGATATCTTGTAACCTTGGAGGAGATGGAGATCTCCCGCTGCGAGCCAGACTTCAAGACAAAAGATCAAACCAATACACTCACATGCTAAATAAATCCCTTATCACTCTGAGAAAGGCAAGAGTCACTAACTCAAACCCCTACAACCAAAGGCACTGTTCTGTATTCATGCCCACTTGCTATGTGATGTGGGAGCCATTTGATCCCAACTTAATCACTTTTACTTGAGTATTTACATGTGCAATCTTACTTGTTGATCACAGTTCTGTCCCACCTCATGCCCACCTGCCTTGCGAGTTCCCATTTTTCACTACCTTACATTCATCTCACCTCGTGATTTTGCTCTATAAAAATAGAAAAGGCAGGGTCCACGGCAACCCTGTCTCTCTCACAGAAGCTTTCTTTCTCTTAACAAATATATCCTGCTCTTAACCTCTAGTGTTCTTTGATTTTAGAGAAAACAAACTCATACTGGACATCTAGGAGGCTGAGAGTTTCTTTCTCCTATATCACTAGCAAATGAGTTTTGAATTAATATGATTCTCCTACCAGTAAAAGAAAGTCCAACTACCTACAATGTAGGAGCGCAGTAGATGCTGAACAAGACACATACACAAAACATGTGCCCTTTCGTGAGACTGGCAACTGAAGCCTAGAACATTGTGCAAAAGTACAGTAAAATGGTAAGTTGACTAGCAGGCAAGAGAAATTATTTGCCAGAGTCCTGTGGCTTTACAACAGCACAGCTAATTTCAGGCAAATATTCAGGAAATACGAGTGGATTACACTTGCAAAGAAAATACGTTGTCCTAGAAGCAACTCAGGATGGAGTTTCATGTCTATTATCACTGTGAACTAAGTTTCAGTTCTGCGCAGAAGACAATCCCCAAGGCACTTGACAGTTCTGAAATGTTTTATCAGACGCCAGCCCTGCAGCAAAACTTCACTTTTGTGTTAATTTATATTAAAAGAAAATAAATACTAGGTTTTCCCTTTATCAATAATTTCTCAGGTCTCTGGTGGAGGAGAACATATCACAGCAAGACTTCAGTGAAAAGCAACGTCACCTTGAACAAAAAAGGACTGGGCTTGTTTCTATCTCTCGATCCTGAGAATCTAGCACAATTATTGTCTCATGGGTGCTCAGTAAGCATTTATCAATTTTATTCTGAACCCGTGAACGTGTATTGGAAAAGCCCAGAGCCCATGCAACTGTTTATTATCTGTATTACGAACGAGGTATGTTGTGATCATTTCTATACTAAGAAACAAAAATTCAGATCATACTTGTACAGATCACACACACACAAAAAGTCTCCTGAAATACTTTCGCAAGAGCGTGTCTTTCAACCGAAATAACACAGCAGGTATTTTAGGAGGGGTACGTCCTCTTCTCTCCTGGACGCTTCCACAACCCAGCTGCACAGAAGGGCGGCTGCCACAGTTTCACAAACGGAATAACAACTCTAAAAGGCCGTCACTTGCTAGGAAGAGCCTAGGCTCAGGTTTCTGTTGACAAATCAACGCACAAAGTATTTTGCTGAACGAAGAAATCCAGTCAAGCGTGGCCAACTGCTTGCAAAGATCACCTGCTCCAAAAGCGAAGTGGAGCTGCGCCGGTGGCGGTTTCAAGTCAAATCCGCTCAGCTGCTCCCTCCGCAAAGAAATCTGCTACGCCCCTTCCAAGCAAGCATCGCTGCGCTTGCGCACACCATCCCTTGACTTCCTGCCCTTCCTGCTCTGCCCGTAGATCTCCATTGCGTATGCGCAGCGAACAGCTGGCGGAATCCGCATCTTTCCAACGCAGCTTCCGGTTTTGTGGCGGTTCCTCTGGCTGGACAGTCGGTGGGCATTGGTTCGGCAGGTTGGTGCGGGGCGGCGAGTGGGGATCTCCGTGGGGGAGTGTCTGTGTGGACGTCGTCTGGAGTTGCAGGTCTTTTCCTGTCCTCTTGGTTCGGGGCTCCTGGTCGCGGCCATCCCTGAAGGGGTGCGACAGTCTGTCCCTGTGACCCTCAGAAGCTGTGCTGCCTGCTCCAAGTGCCTGAGCTCCGATTCTGAGCTCCCCAGGGATCCCAAGTTACGGGATTCCAGCTCCCCGAGGGAGGGTTCCATCCCGAGCGCTGGAGGATGTGGGGGGAAAGGACTTTTACTGTGATCAAGGTGATGTGGACTTCTTGAGGCTTTGCAGACAGATGCAGGTGGAAGGGGAGTGGGGGAGACTGTCGTATTGGAGGTGAGGGTGCTTTGTTGCTCTCCTGCTGTAACGTTCGTGAACTGTTCGCGTGCCAGAGCCTCTGGCTAGTCATACCTCTAATTCCTTTCCCCAGTTTCTCCTACATGTCCGTGGCATGTGGCAGCCACCGAAGTTAGGCTACTGTGAAACAGCTGTCCCAGAGGGAAGCACAGTTTGTCAAGTGGGGGTGGGGCGTAAAGGGAACTTTAGGTGTGCATTTTTCTCTTTCTCCTGTGAACTAGCTCTTAACCGCCGTGCATAGGCACTAAATGAAACCTGCTCCTTTGTTTTCGCCTGGCGCTTGCAGCAGGGAAATGGGTGAATCATTATTTTTCACTGGTACTTAGGTTCATTCTCTTGAAAGATTTGCTTCACCACCCTTAAAAAGTTAAACACCTTTTTCCTTTCTCCTGTTCGTACCTGCTTCGTATTTTGCAGCACTGGATTTCAAACCTTGCGTGGATCAGCAAGCATTCAAGTATTGAAATACCAAGGTTTTACTAGTGCCGGGTACTCTTTTAAAGTTTACATGGAATATGTGATTTCACTATCATTCTAATTCTGACATTTTTTACGCCGTTTTACACTTAACAAAGATGAAGTTTGCTTAGAAAAATTAATTTCCATGCATTCCACAGCTATTAAATGTTGGAGTCCACATTCAAACTAAAGTTTTTTATACTCCAGAGCCTGAGCTCAAACAGTACACCTCTTTGATCTTACTACAAATGGAAAGCATCGACTAAAAAAGGCAGAATCCAAAAAATAAAATTCAACATCGTATAAAAAGGAGCAGGGATCCTAATCTTTGACTTTTTTATGCAGTTGCGATAAACAAAAATCTTTGTCTATTCATTTTATCCTAATTTTTGAGTACTTGTAATCTGTATACATTTTAGGATATGTATTTATCTGGTCGTTACCTAAATATGTCATTGTACAGTAAGTTGAATCTTTGCCTGGGATTTGTTGAAGAAAACTGAGGCAGAATCTATCAAAACTATATCAATACCTGATCACTCAGCACATAATTCTTAATTTGCTTTATTTTGCATAAATTATACGTAATTTCTGTATGTATGTATGTGATGTGCCCACTCCAGGGTACCAGGTGGCAATCAGTTATCCAAGTAAGATTTAGCAAGGGGAAGCAGTTACTATAATCAAAGATGAAAGTCTTAGGAGAATGGTCTCTATTGAGTTTAACTTACTCTTGGTCTAACTTACTCAGTAGAAACTGGGTTTCCTTTGTCACAACTTAGAGTGAGGAGAGCAGTTTTGTTGTTGTTTTTTTCAATAGCTCACTGAAGTGGCTGCTGTGAACCATTACCAAGGCAGTCAGAGCAGAACTGAATCTCACCCCCATTTGTGATTTTAGGCTTCAGTGAAAATGCTCTGTTGCAAGACATTTTACATAGCTAACAAGCTTAGCATTTCATTATAATTAGTTTTTAGTACATCCCTTGTTACAGAATGTATGATCTTTTAAAGTAGAAACAGTGGATTTGCCATAATACAAGTATCTAGGTTAAATGTAATTACTAAGTACTTGGAGAATACCTGTCGTGAGAATGTAAACAAAAAATGTACTGATGAATTTATAGTTATAAAGCTGTAAGCAACTATAATAAGTAGATAGGGAAGTAAAGTGGGGATATTATGGGAGGTATTTTAAGTTGCGTTTGAAATGCTAGAGTGATTTGCAGAGATGAAAGTAATCAGAGATACAAGCTTTATTTGGCTGGACAAAGGATACCTTTTGTTTGTATTCTATGAAGTGAAATCTGTTATTAGGATTTCAAAATTCCTATAATTTCAAATTTCAATTGATTGGGTGATTTATTAAAAACATCTATTTTAAGCAGTTTGTTTTAAATGTCACATAGAAGTCTGAGAGAGGAGACATGGGAGGAGGACTTCAAGACTAGAAGTAAAAGTATATTGTGCTTGATTTTTTACTGTTTTCATTATTATTAGCAATATTTTGCATTGTATGTTAAATAATCAATTGATAGAATAGTGAATTCAGTATAACTTGACATTTAAGGAAAAATAAAATTATGTTTTACTATTATAGGAAGTAGGCTTGGTGATACTTCTGATGACTGCTAATTCAGATAAATACTATTAGGTGAAGTTAAGAGAGCATCAGTAGCATTGGTCTATTTTCATTGAATAGACATTTATAGACATTTATTATGGTCCAGGTGAACTCTATAAGGTCATTAATATTAAATGTTTAGTTGAATTTTATTTTTGATTTAAAAATTGTCCTCTTTTTGTATTATTAGGTAAATCAGAGGATTCACTGTTGCGTCTATGGCTGCCTCACAAACTTCACAGACTGTTGCATCTCATGTTCCCTTTGCAGATTTATGTTCAACTTTAGAACGAATACAGAAAAGTAAAGGACGTGCAGAAAAAATTAGACACTTCAAGGAATTTTTAGATTCTTGGAGAAAATTTCATGATGCTCTTCATAAGAACCAAAAAGATGTTAAAGACTCTTTTTATCCAGCAATGAGACTTATTCTTCCTCAGCTAGAAAGAGAGAGAATGGCTTATGGAATCAAAGAAACTATGCTTGCTAAGTTTTACATTGAATTGCTCAATTTACCACGAGAAGGAAAAGATGCTCTTAAACTCCTAAATTACAGAACACCTACTGGAACTCGTGGAGATGCTGGAGACTTTGCAATGATTGCATACTTTGTGTTGAAGCCAAGATGTTTGCAGAAAGGAAGTTTAAACATCCAGCAAGTCAATGAACTTTTAGACTCAATTGCCAGCAATAATTCTGCCAAAAAAAAGGACCTAGTGAAAAAGAGTCTTCTTCAACTTATAACTCAGAGTTCAGCACTTGAACAAAAGTGGCTTATACGGATGATTGTAAAGGACTTAAAGCTTGGTTTCAGTGAGAAAACTATATTATCTGTTTTTCATAACGATGCTGCTGAGTTGCATAATGTCACCACGGATCTAGAAAAAGTCTGCAGGCAACTCCATGACCCCTCTGTTGGACTCAGTGATATTTCGATCACATTGTTTTCTGCCTTTAAACCAATGCTGGCTGCCATAGCAAATATTGAGCACATTGAGAAGGACATGAAACAGCAGAGTTTCTACATCGAAACCAAGCTCGATGGTGAACGCATGCAGATGCACAAAGATGGAGATGTGTATCGGTACTTCTCTCGAAACGGGTACAACTACACTGATCAGTTTGGTGCTTCTCCCAATGAAGGTTCTCTTACCCCCTTCATTCATAAGGCGTTCAAAACAGATGTGCAGACCTGTATCCTGGATGGAGAGATGATGGCCTACAACCCCAACACCCAAACTTTTATGCAAAAGGGGAATAAGTTTGACATTAAAAGAATGGTGGAAGAGTCTGATCTGCAGACTTGTTACTGTGTTTTTGATGTGTTGATGGTTAATAATAAAAAGCTAGGACGCGAGACCCTGAAAAAGAGGCATGAGATTCTTAATAATACCTTTACCCCAATACCAGGTAGGATGGAAATAGTACAGAAAGCACAAGCTCGTACTAAGAAAGAAGTCATTGATGCACTGAATGAAGCAATTGATAAAAGAGAAGAGGGAATCATGGTCAAACATCCTCTGTCCATTTATAAGCCAGACAAAAGAGGCGAAGGGTGGCTAAAAATTAAACCAGAGTATGTCAACGGATTAATGGATGAGTTGGACATCTTAATTGTGGGAGGCTATTGGGGAAAGGGCTCCCGCGGTGGCATGATGTCTCATTTTCTGTGTGCCGTAGCAGAGAAGCCCCCTTCTGGTGAGAAACCAACTGTGTTTCATACGCTCTGTCGTGTCGGCTCAGGGTACACCATGAAAGAATTGTATGATCTAGGTCTAAAACTGGCCAAATACTGGAAACCTTTTCATAAAAAAGCACCCCCAAGTAGCATTCTGTGTGGAACAGAGAAACCAGAAGTGTACATTGAACCTTGTCATTCTGTCATTGTTCAGATTAAGGCAGCAGAGATTGTCCCCAGTGAAATGTATAAGACTTGCTGTACCTTGCGTTTTCCGAGAATTGAGAAGATAAGGGATGACAAAGAGTGGCACGAGTGCATGACTCTGGATCAGCTAGAGCAGCTGGGGGGGAAGGCCTCCGGGAAGCTTGCCTCCAAGCACCTGGACCTGGACAGTACCGATGAGCCAAAAGAGAAAAAGCGGAAAACCGCCCCAAAGGTGAAGAAAGTCATTGGGATTCTTGAACACTTGAAAGCACCTAACCTCTCTAACGTAAGCAAAGTTTCTAATATATTTGAGGATGTAGAGTTCTGTGTTATGAGTGGAACAGTCAGTCATTCAAAACTTGACCTGGAGAACAGAATTGCAGAATTTGGTGGTTACATAGTACAAAACCCTGGTCCCGACACGTACTGTGTCATTGCAGGCTCAGAGAATATCAGAGTGAAAAACATTATTTCATCTGATAAACACGATGTTGTCCGGCCCGAGTGGCTTTTAGAATGTTTTAAAGCCAAGACCTGCTTGCCATGGCACCCTCGCTTTATGATTCACATGTGTCCATCAACAAAACAGTATTTTGCCCGTGAATATGATTGCTATGGTGACAGTTATTTTGTGAACACAGATTTGACCCAACTGAAAGAAGTGTTCTCAGGGATTAAAAATCCTCATGCCCAGAGCCCTGAAGAAATGGCCTCTGTGATTGCAGAGTTAGAGTGTCGTTATTCCTGGGACCGCTCTCCTCTCAGTATGTTTCGACACCACACCATTTATCTGGACCTGTACACTGTTGTTAATGACTTGAGTACGAGCATCAAGGGAGCAAGGTTAGCTGTTACAGCTTTGGAGCTTCGCTTTCATGGAGCCAAAGTGGTCTCTTGTTTAGCTGAAGGGGTGTCTCACGTGATCATTGGGGAAGATCAGAGTCGGGTGGCAGATTTTAAAGCTTTTCGAAGAACTCTGAAGAAAAAGTTTAAAATTCTCCAAGTAGCTTGGGTAACTGATTCAATAGACAAAGGTGAGTTAGAGGAGGAAAGTCGGTATTTGATTTAAAGTTGGCTTTTTAGTGAGGAAAACCTTGAATCACACGGACTCATTGCAACAGATAGTAATGATAAACTATTTTATTTTTGTGTTTAAAACATGTACTTAGTACATACAGGAAAACAAAAAAAATTTTTCTAAGATAAAAAGCAACAGAATGATCCAAAGCCAGGAAAGAAATTCTCTCACTAGTATATATTTTATGACTTTTTATAACAAAGATGAAACAAATGAAGATATATTTATATCCATATGGAAGGTTACTATTGGACTCAGATATTAATAAAATACATTAGGAAGCCTTTACAATATTGATCCTCTAAACGTTATTTTTCTAAAATCAACTAAAATTTTTAATAAGGATATTTTAAGGGAAAAAATACCATGAAATTGTTAAGTTTGCCCTGTGAAAACATGTCCATTTACTTGAAGCCTAAAATGCATGTTTTAAAAGTGGAATGTAAATAAATTTATTTTTTAAGACTAAGTTATTTAAAATCTGTGTGTATAGCATATATTATGAGTGAATTTGTATAACAAATTTTCCACTATATGTTTAAAAATGTGTGTTCTTGAAATGAAGGGAATTTGCAACCTGTACTGTTGTATATAAGTTATTTAGAAGTAGAATAAATGTATGTGATTATGTTATATTAATTTAAATAAAATATCTAATATAGTGTTAAAATTATGTTCTACTTATATTTCCTTTTGTTTTCAAGCAATTATAGTTTCCTTAGTAAAATTTTGTGGCATCACTATAATCTTAACTGGTTCTAATCAAGTTCCTTTTTGAGGGCCCTTGTATTTCATATTATTGAGTGAACTTTATTAAAAACTTTAAATGGTATGGTGGCATACATCTGACATCCCAGCACTCAGGAAGATGAGGCAGAGGGGTCACTGTGAGTTTGAGCCCAGCCTGGGCTACATAATGAACTCAAGGCCAGTCTGAATTACACAGTGAGACCATGTCTCAAAAAAACGGAAAAACCTTTTAATTCAGGCATGGTGGCACAAAACACTGGAGTATATAGTAAGAGGAAAATTTCGAGATTTTAAAAACATTTTCTATTTTAGGTTATCAATGGTAAGGAAAGTACAAAACAACTCCTCAGGATCAGAATAAAGAAGCTAAGATGGTGATTTATTTGATTAGCTCTTTCATTTAATAAATGAGGGAATTTTTGCACTGGGATATACTGCCATTGTGTTTAATTCTCGTGCAGTGCTCACTGAGTGTCATGAAATATGTCTCGCTAATGCACTCTTGTTCGGATTCTAGGTTATTCCATCATGCAGCCCTCATGTTTTTTTTTTCTTTTCCATCAAACAGTGGTAAACCTTTATGTGTGAGTCCTGTTTGTTTGTCAGGATGCATTCCCAGAGGTAGAGATGGCTGGCTCAGTCTTGTGTGACTTTTAGTGACTTTCGGCATGCATTGAAAAATCCTGGCCAAAATATGTTGATGGTGCTCATATTCCCCATCCCTAAGTGTTGGACAGTCCAGCTGCCCACTGCTAGACCTGCGCTCTATTTTTATTCATTTAGTCAGTATTTTTCTGTCCCCTGGGTTTTAACCTGCGGACAGCCTGCACCTTTCTCTAGCACCCGTTCTCAGCTGAGCTACAGTACATATTTCTTTGCTATCTCAGGAAGATCTCCATATGAAAAATCTAACAGGTCTCTCAAATTTAAAGTGTGCTTCCAGCTGCTCTTTTAAAAAGTTTTATGAAAGGAAAATTGAAACACGCAGGACAATACTCTAACAAGCCTGCATTTGGGCATCGCCCAGTTGAAACAACTGGCAGTGAGCAATCTTTCATGTTCATGCAAGTTTCATCTGTGCATTTCTTTATGGCACCCATGTCTTCCGGCAGCTCCCCTGTTCATGCATGGTATATGTCTTCTCCCAAGCTGAAAGCCATGGCATCCTGACACTGTCTGTGTAGGTTCTGAGTATGTTTCAGGTGTGACCTCTTTTCCCCTCATGCCGTTCTCACTGGCCTGGCTTAGGAACCTCCTCAGCTGGCCTTCCTCCTGCAGTCTTACTCCTGTATGTTCTGTTTTCAGGAACACAGTTTTTACCTGTAGTGAAGAAAGTCAGGTTGTGTTACTCTGTACCTAAAGTCTCTGGCTTGCCCTCCCAGTGCCCAGTGTCTCTCACAGGGCCTGCAGGACATGGGTTGCCTCTTTTAGTTTGGTGTGCTGTTTGCTTTACCTCTCAGTGCCCCGTCCCCCTTGCTGACACGTCAGCCCCACTGGCCTGCTTTGCTTTGCTTTGCCCTTCCTCGGTTCTGTCTTCTGTTTACCGCACCTACACCCCTAGCGCTTCTTGAGCTTTTAGTGTGCTGCTTTTCCAAGGCTCCACATTTCCTGCCACCAGTATAGAAACTCTATGAAAACACTTGAGTTTTTTTTTTTTTTTCATAGTTTGTCTTCCACTATTTCAGGTAGGCTAAAAAACAAACTTAGCTCGTATTATCCAAGGACACTTACTGTGAACCACACACCCACACCCACACACACAGAACCTCTTATCTCCATACTTCAATGACTCAGGCGTTCATTTCTTTAGGCTGAGGGTACTGTCTTTGGAAATACGGTTGGCTGGAATGGCTGCTTCAGACTTGTGTTTCTACTGGGATCTGTGTGAATAGGGTTGCTTTTGGCGCTTGGCCCCTCATTTTTGGGAAACAAGTTGAGTTTCAATACTAGAGCTACTCATTTCAGCCAGCATAATGAATTCTGTCTTTGATAATCATTTGGATGAAAAGATGAATAAGAAGCTCATTATGTACTGATGATAAAGATAAGAATTATGTTTTTTTGGTTTTTCTGGTTAGGGAAGGGGAGGATTGCCCTAAGGCTACATGTTGTAGGGAATGAAAACAAGTTCTATAACTAAGTCATCCTAGGCTCCATTCCACTTCTGCCAACAATTATGTATTATTCTGAGCAGTGCTTACCTTTCTGAACCTTAGTTTCTTAATTTTCATATTAAAATGACACCTGTTCCACCACAGTGTTGGAGGACAGAATTATAGCACCCACCATATACTGAGGTTTCTCCAGCTCTCTAGCTGCCAATCTTAGATCCTCCCCAGGAGGGTTAAATAACCCTAATGTTGTTAGTGGTAAGTATATCTGGAAAGATAAGTAGAACTTAAACAGTCACAGTAGTTTGAAAGGATTTTCCTAAAAAATGGAAACAAGATCATAAGTGAAGCCCTGAGAGATACAAAAGCATGCAGGGATATTTGACCCATATTTAGGGCGAGAAGTCTGTGTATACAGGTTAGGGTAAGTTTTGAAAGATTTTAAATGCCCCCCTACAGCATATGGATTGAATTGGGTGCTCAGCATAACTGCACTGAAGACCTCTGAGCAAGTTAAGACCCTCAGGTCTACCGGTTTTTTATTTCAATTTTTGTAGTTTTTCTCTTGAACCACTTTATTGATATAAGAGTACCATATAGAATACTGCACATACTTAATGTATACAACTTGGTGAGTTTGGAGATAAGTAACAGTGAAATCATCAGCATAGTCAAGACCATGAACTTATTAATCATCTCGCAGATTTACCTTCTGCCCAATGAATAATTGGTAGATTTCACTTGCCTCACTTGTTCACCAATCTGAACACCTCTTGAGCTGCACGCACTGTCCTGGTTTCTAGTGCAGCTGCATCAATCAAAATGAGTGACACCATCTTGGTTCAGTTTATATTTTTAGTTAGTGAAAGAGGAAGGAGAATAACCCCTGATTTATTCTCTGTGGTTTCTTGATTCTCCCTCTTTCACAGATGTTCAGTTTGACATTTCAACTCTATTTTCTTCCTGATTTAAAATGTTCCCGACTTCTCAGTATGTTTTCTGGCTTTTCACTGTTAAAATTCTACATATAATTTGTAATGAAGTCTGGAATCTATTGCTACAATCCATAAATGTCAAGAACTCTTCGGCGATTCCACTTAAGAGAGCGTAACACTTACACTGCTTTCACCCAGAAGAAACTGTAATCATTCCAAAGAGTTGTACTTGCATAATATTGATGGGAAAAGGGAACCCAGTCACCTAGTAGGTGAGATTAACCAAGAAAATACTAGTGATTTCTGGATGATACACACCATGCAGAGACTGCCTTTGAAGGAACAGATAATTTCACACTTGAAACATTTTCATGCCTAGAAAGAATGCTCTTCTCAAATCATTTCTGAATCTTATAATCTTAACACTATCATGTCACAAAAGTGTTTCTGAATTTAGAATCGAACTTCCATTCATTGCTACAGGAAATATAAAATAGTAAAGTTTTGAAAAACTGGTAATTTTTAAAATTATCGACCCATTTTGCAGCTCCACAAACCTGTTGCTCCCCATGACTAAGAAAAGACTGTCCATAAAATGATTTGTACAAGTATGTTCATAAAAACTTTGTTCATAGAAGCCCTGTGTGGGTCAGATTCTTTGTTGCTAAGATACAATACCCACAATTTAACAAGTAAAGGTGCGGTGTAGCCCATAGTCTCAGAGATTCAGTATATACTCAGCAACTTCATGGTGTTAGAGTGGGACAGAGCAAAACTGCTTGGTTTATGGCATCCAAGAAGCACTGCAAGGGAACGATGCAAAAGAATAACCAGTACCCAAGGGCTCACCTGTATGACATACCCAAGACAGTCGGGAACAAGCTAGACTAGTTTGCTAGGTGTTCTTTAATCCAGGGAAGTTGATGCAGGTTATGATTAATGGTTGCAACTCACCCCTGGTTTCATACCCTAACACATCCTCTTAAATCTTAAGCTCCAAATAAAGGCAGGGGTGAATTCATAGTTCTGTCAATATAGGACAACTATCCTGCATAGAACTGGCAATGCAACAATCCCTTTCACAAAGACTCAATAGTTTCATAATTTTTCACATATCCAAATGTCCTCTGAGACTCAAGGAAAACTCATAGCTATGAACCTCAATAATATATGAAGAACAAGTTACAATAATGACACAGGGCATACATTCCCATTCTGAAATGGAGGAACAGGGGGCTAGAGATGAACTGGACAAGCAAGCAAGCAAGGCCAAAAAGCTCCAGGAAAAGCATTAAATCCTGTATCCCCATGCCGAGCACCTGGGACACGTGGAAAGAATGAGTTCTAAAGGGTGTAGTGTCCCCCACATCTATGATCTTGCCAGTTGGCATGCAAAGCTCCCAATTTAGGCTGGCTTTACCCATGGACTGCAGATTTATTCAGCTGAAGTTTTGCATTGCTAGAACCTTTGATTCCTGGGGATTACCCAATATCTTTGGCTTCATTCTCACAGCATCATGTAGTGCCCTCTCATAGGCCTCTTTCTTCTAGACCTCCCCTCGCATCTGAGTGGAAGCTTCTCTGAACTTAAGACACTTGAATTCTGTATGAGAGTAAATCCATTATCATGTGGATGATGCAATGATCTGCAGTAGCCAAGCTCCCTTGGATCATAGTTGCAGCAGCCCTGAAGTGTTTGGATGGCTATGCATGATGAAATAAATCTCTGGGAATCAATTCCCTAGGAGGCCTTTCTCAAGCAGGGGTCTCAGGGACCTTCCTCCCAAATAAAAGGATGACACTTTTGCACCCTGAGCTTGTTATGAGTGGGTTTTATTGTTTCCTGGGATTTCTTCAAAACACCTTTCTTATTA